TAGGCTTCAAGCGCAGAGAGTGAGAAATCTGACTTGCAGATGTAAGTCTCATTACACAGGCAGTTGGGCTGCTGACTGCTATTTGTGTGAGCAAATTTATTAAGGGAAAGAGAAGAGAGGAGGATATATTTTGGAGAGGTCAAACCCTGCTTCCGTATTTAGAAACAGGCTATTTTAAAACAAACAAACAAACAAATAAACAAACAAACCATGGAACTGGATATCCTATTCCTTAGTCTCACTAAAAAAGACCCAAACAAACAGGTCTGGAAGTTTTTTAGCCCAGTGAATCAGTACCTTTTCTTTAAAATTAGACCATTTTGTTTTGTTGTTTGTTTGGAAGATTTTTCCTAGGCAGTGACACAGCTTTGTGAGACAATTCAACAGTTAATTTAAAAGACGTATTGGTAGGAACCATGTTATGCATTGTCTTGCAAGAATGACTTCTTTCATTTTGCATTCATTATTTTTGTGATTGGAATAACTGCTTTGTATTTCTTCCCCCAAATAAAATATTTATTAGTAAATCTCGCACCACACAAATTAATGCTGTTTGATTTCTTTTTTCAGCATTAATGCTTAGACTCCCAACAAACCCTCTCAGTCAGTTGTGTGTCTCACTCAGGGAAATACCTGCCTTTGGGCAAAAGACAAAAGCCCAAAAGACTGAGATTATGGGAAGTTTTTGTTTGAAGGCAGTGCTGGAAGGGGAATGGCACTGATGGCTGCTATCCTGCAGGTGAGACACAAAAAATCCCACCTCTGCTGGGTTTCTGAGTCTTGTGGAAAACATCCCCAGAGACCCCCCTGAGGTTACCTGGTACTGTGGCTTAGTGGTGATTTTATAATCTTGTCTTGAGTAAATAACAGCTGGTCTTGGCATGTTCCCAGGAGCAGAACAAGGAGACAGGAGCTGTTCCCTGCTCGACTGTGGGTCAGTGAAATAACCTGAGCTGCCAGTCAGAAATGTTGGGATCGAGCTGTTGTCCTCCAAGCCCAATGTCACCAATTAATCACTTGCTGCCTGTAACCTATCAATGACGATGTGCTGGGGTATTTTTTTATTGCTGGCTTTCTCCATCCTTCTGCTGTTTATCTCTGAGGAGCTTCTGCCAAGCTAACCCCAGTGTTTCAGGGATTAGTTCTCAGAAAAATCTCAGAGAGGAGCTCTCAGCCAGGAGCTGATTAAATGCATCTGAGCTCAGCCCTGTGATACTCCTGGTTGGGTGAGGAAGACAGGATGCTTTGCTGGAGTAAAGCTAAGAAAGATGAGGGGCTCTGACCAAAAAGTACAGCCATGCTTGATATTTAAATTGATGTTTTTGCTACTTTAGCCTTTGTCCAGTCACAAGCTGTGAAAAGCAACTACAGGCTGTTGTTAATAGGTAACAATTTGGCTCTAAGTCCTTTAAGTGAAATCCTGCAGGAGGTCAGTGATTTTATAATCTAATTTAAGCTTCTGGGAACTTTGGTCTTATTCCACCCATACACAACAAATGCATCTTCATTAGTCTGTGTACATGTAGATGCTGTATCTAACATTTGTAAGTGCTGGCAGGAATGGAAAATACTTAGCAAGAGGAATTTTACTTTTCTCGTTTCTTTGGTTATGGTTTGTTCTTAAACCATCAAGCATCTCTTTCAATAAAAATAACTAATGTGTTTATTTTTACTAGAGCAGGGTAAGAAATTTGCATTAAAGAAATTACTCTATTCATCTTTTTTAGATCAGGCACAAGTTGTGATTTTCTCATTTGTACTTACTGTTCAAAAAGATTTACTGAATATTTTTTATGAATGAATATGTTGGCAATTCACCCACAAGGAGTTTGTTATGTGTATTAATTTAAACAATCAATTCTAATGGATTTCAATGTCCAAATATCTTTGATGACTTTGAAAACCTGAAGCTAATTAGTCAAAATCTGAGTTGTTTCTTTTCAAGAGGCAAGTTGTCATCTAGCAAGACAATAGCAACTTTAGGGTGGTTTTTTTTTCTGTGTTGTCTTGCTATTATAAATAGGAGCTGTGCTCTTCTGCAGAAGTCTCTGTTATTCAGTGGTACCACTAAAGTTAGTGGGAAATATGTTAGAATTTGTAATGGGACTGGGGTTTTATCCATTGTTTCAGCCAATACATGAATCATCCAACTCCTTCAATGGTGTGCAGCAGGAAGGGGAACAATGAGGCACCAACACAGAATTTTAGTGTTAAAACATCAAGAGTAAACGCTCAGGTAAAATATTTGGCAATATCACCCAGATTTAATTTTTGCACTTTAAAGGTTGATCTTTCACATTCCCTCAAGTTCTTTGTTTGCCTGAGTCCCTGGATAAAGTGCATGGAAAGTCAGAGGATATCTTATGTCATCACTATTTGTGTTAATGGCTTAGGAACCCACAATCCAATCAGTTAAAATAAACAACCCAGTGTAATAGGAGCATAAATCAATGAAGACTTCATTACTGAAACCTTAATGTGTAATCCATCCACCTACAGAGGAAAGAGATACTGAGAGGCAGCAAGACAAAACCAGAGGACAGCCTGATTTAGGAAACCCTGATATTTAAAAAGGTGTTGAGAACAGTAAGTCTTCCTGGAGTCAGTAAATTTGATGCATACTCATCACTCCTGACAACCTGCCCCTGACTATTAAGTCCCTATGCTGAAAAATGCCAAGAAACTCTTGGGAAGAGAGCTCTGAATGTTCTTTGTTTAGTCTGGGAGACTTGAGCCAGCTCAAATGAACAAAGACATGAATTAGGAAGATTAACATAGGACTAAAATGATATATTTTACCCAAGAGTAATGCTGCTCAGAACTGCTCTGACCCTGCTGCAGACTTTCCTTGCTGTGTAGTCCCTTGAGCCAAGTGGCACAAATCAGGGCTCCTCTCAGGTGAGGGTGGCAATACTTGGTGAAACCAGAGTTACTGGATTTCATTAAAGCCATGTATTCTGTTTGTCTTGGCTCTGAAAGGAGCAGCAATCTTAACACAACAAGCCTTTTAATTTCAACATAGATCATAAAAGGGCTGAACTTTTATGTTCGGTGCTGAGATCTCTGTTAATAACGAAGAGAAACAGCAGGCTCTCTGTCTGGGTGTGAGCTCTGATGTGGGGATGAGACAGGCACTTTGCCTGTGGATTTTAGCTAAGAGCAAAAGCAAGTTGAGCCTTGAGAAAGCCATCAGTGCTCAAGACCCTCTCCACTGGGTCCCCATTTCAGAAGTGATTCTCCAATCTCATCCTCATCTGACTCTTCTTGTTTCCTTCCTTCCCCTTCCCTGATCACATCTTGCTCTTTTCTCTCATTCCCCTGCTGACACCTTTTGTCCCTGTGGCTGAGTTGGAATATATACTGAGCAGGGAATGGTTGGTAGCACTGCTAATTGACCAAAACCAGGATGATGGGAAACCTTGTTTTTCAGAGATTTGGAGTTTGTTTTTGTTAATAATTATGAAAAAAAAAATTTCTAAGAACACACACTAGGTTTAGGATACAGAAGCTAGGGAACATTGGCATTAATGTAGTTATTCCATGCAGAAAATGGCACATACAGTTTGCCAATGCAGAAGGAGATTTGGTTGCAGGGAACTCCCAAGCATCCTGCAGGATTTCTGTGACAGGGGTGGAAATCTGTTTCTCCAGGCTGGCAGTCACCTGCTCTGACTGCAGACTGATCAATTTCCTGCTTCATCCCAGGTCTCACCCAATGCATACCCTCCCCAGCTGTAACAGAGGAGGAGGTATGGGCTGCAGCACCCTAATTAGATACACAATCCTCAGCACCTTGTGATTTTTTCAGGGATCCATTAGGAAAAAGGGGTCCATTTGCATTTATAGTCATTATTACAGATCTGAACTAGACTTTCCCTAATATTCCTTCTAGAGTAACTTTTTGATAGGTGTTACTTCTCTACTCCTTGTCTTAAATATACAGTTGCATAATGATAAATATGTCAGAGAATGGTTGAATCAATTTGGCTGGTAAATTGATCACATATATCTAGAATGGATACCAGGTTAAGTTACAAGGTAGGTTAAGTTTCTGAAGCACTTCAACATTCAGAAATATAGGAGCCATACATTTGTGAGATATTACCTTATTGTCATAATTTAATTGAAAATAAAGTGATTCCATTATAGTTTGTGTGATCCAAAGGTTCTTTGGGACCAGAGCTATTCAAATGCAAGTTTTGTATTATATTAGAAATTTGTATGGTGGTGTATCTGTTCAGAAATAAAGTCATCCATGTCTTAACCCAAATCCCTCTAATTGCAATACAGACCAGTGATTAATTCTTGAATCACAGCAGTGAAATCTGTTTGGAGCAGGATTAAAGAAGGGGTCTAGTGTATCACACAAATGGATGGTAGTTATCATGTGTTTCCTTCTCCTCAAGTGCATTATATCTTATTTCCTCTAGTGCAAAATTTAAAGTGACTCTAAAGCAGAAAGTGTCATGTAAAAGTGTGGTGGTAACTTGGTCTTAAAATTAAATTATATTACTTTAAAAATAAGCTTAGGAATTTTTCTTCTCAAATTCAAGGCTTCCACGTGGTGGTGGCTGCAAAGACAGGAGAATTTTCATGTTGATGGGATTAATATAATTTAAATATGTTGTTCTTCAACTCCAGTAACAAGAGATGCTGTTATGGAAAGCCATCTCACATTTAGCATTTCTATGTGATACAGAATTTCCTCAACTTTGGGGTAGCCAGATCAAACCACAAAAGAGAGTTTTAGTTTAGAATTTAGATGTAATTTCTGCAGAAATTCTACTGTGTATTAAATACTGTGTAGTATGATATGTTAGAGGCTTTTAAAATGTGTCATCAATATGTTTCCACATATTCAGTGTCCAGATGGCACAGAAGTGCTCAGTATCCAAACAAGGATCTCAGTGCCCTTGCACTGCATGATGCACTGCAGCCCTGTGCAGCACAAAGTGTCCTGCTCTGAACTGATCTGTAAATTTGGTGTGTTTCCATTCCAGAGCTCCTGTGACAAGGATGTCATCCTGAACATTCTCAGTGTCCTCACTGACTTGCTGTCTTTGGGTAAGGAAGCAAAGATTTGGGGCAATGGCTGTGGGCTAGGGCAGAAAGGGAGTCCTAAAGTAAGTCTGGGAATTCATACTTGCATTCAAACTTGACCAGGTGTTTGCAAGGTGAAAAAAAATGTAAATTCTATCTATAGATTAGCAGTCCTTACTCCTGTATTTGGAAAACTGAGATTATTCAATGTGTTAAAGAAAAGAAAAAAAAGACTCAGAGAAAGTTTCAATTTTTTCTTTTTTGTTTTGAAGATGCCCATGGGTTGCAAAGTATTTCATAATCCCTGGCAGTCAACCACTGGAAATGTTCACCAGTGCCATTGGAGAGAGGACTGTGAGACAGGGAAAGGAAAGGAACCTGACTATTCAGCATCCAGGGACCCTCTAATGCAGAGAGTTCAGCTTCTCCCCAAAATGCACTTCTGCCTTGGGGCTGCAGGGAATGGATGTCACTTTATGTGCTCAAAGCTGCAAAAAACCATAAGTGTATCGGCAAAAGAACTAAAAAAAATTGTCAAGTTTCTTTTCCTTTCTGCTCCACCACAAAATTATAATCTACTAAACAATTTCCAGCCCAACTAAGCTGCCAGGCTGTGGGGGCTGCATCGGTGAGTGCTGGATCCTCCTGGGTCCCCCATTCCTGGAAGCCCCACCAGAGACATCACCTGTCCATCTGGGCCTCTCTTTTGGAGCCCCGGAGCCCTTTTCCTTAGCTGGGTGCAAGGATGGCCTCCAAGGGGAACAGGGGGTCCTGCTCTTCCCTAGGAACTGAAGGAGCAGCATCCCCCAACCACAGAGCCTGGATCAATGTTTGTTAACACAGTAAGGCTCCCAGGGTTAGAGTGTGGTTTCTTTGGAGACCTACATTTATTTGAAAGCTGTCCCCAAGGCTTCCCTAGGATTCCTTTTCATTTGGCAGAAGCCCAGTGCAGCTTTAGTTCTTTCCCTGTTTAATTTCCAGTATCTAAGAAAAGATCACTGAGCCTTTTGCTGCTTTGAAACCTGTCGGCATCTCGGCTTATTCCTCTCTGCCACATTTCAATGCACACTGAAAAACTTCTGCAGCACGTGGGTTTGGAGAGACAAGGACTGCCGTGGTAACAGGCAGCAGGGCACACAGTTCCACCATCCATGTCCCCAGGCTGGGGACACCAGAGATTCACGGCAAGTTCTGCCAAGCTCGCGCGTTCGGCACTCAAACATTGTCTGAAGGCCGCAGAAGCTCTGTGTGCCCCTTGCAGACTGAGGCTTTGTGACAGCTGTGTCTCAGGGAGGGGATGCTCTGAGCTGTCTCTCCTCTCTTCCCCAGGCACTGGACGGAGGATTCACTACGTGGTCAGCAAAGGGGGCAGCGAGGCTCTGCTGCAGGCCCTGGCCACGGCTGCCCGGACAGAGCCGCCCGAGCACGGCCCCCTCCTGCCCCTGCTGCGCCTGCTGGCCAGGGTGGGACAACGAGGTACTGCCGCGTGCTGGGGGCTTCTGGAGGGGTCAAAGATGAGGATCATCTCACTGCAGCCTTCCAGTAGCTCAAGGGGACAGATATGTTAGTAGGGCCTGTCCTACAGGACAAGGCCCCTTGTCCTGTAGGACAGGCCCTACTAAAATATCTGTCAGGACAGATATTTTACAGGACAGGACAAGGAGTAATGGTTTTAAACCATTACAGGACAAGGAGTAATGGTTTTAAACTGAAAGAGAATAGGTGTAAGGAAGAAATATTTCATTATAAGGATGATGAGACACTGGCACGGGTTGACCAAAGAGGTGGTGGATGCCCCATCCCTGGAAACATTCAGGGTCAGGTTGGACATGGCTCTGAGCATCCTTGTCTGGTGCACCTCATTGTGAGAGGTTTGGACTAGGTGGCCTTTAAAGGTCTTTTTGAATCCAGAATATTCTGTTCCATGTATGATAACTCAAAGTGAACCCATGTTTTTCCATTTTCAGTGAGATTAATATTGGTTTAACTCACTGATACATTCAAATGCCTTTCTTATAAGATTTTGAGTTACAAGGCTTAATAAACACATGTTTAATAGCACCGCTGCAATGACCTGGCCTTGGTAATAGTTTAATTCTCATTTTCTTTTCACAGATAGGAAGTTTGGGCTTAAAGTGCAGAAGGCAGAAGCCACTGATATAATACTGAGCTTGACAAGAAGACACCTGGGCCACCACCTGCACCTCACCCACTGCCTCTGGGTCCTGCGGGTTTGTGCTTCTAATGGTGAGTGCCAGGATTTTCCTCTTTTCTTCTGTGTGACAGCCACCAGGGCTCTTTTTTACTCATTTCAATGCAAAGAAACATTATTCCTGGTAGGGTTAGTGCCTGCATGCACCATTAATATACAGAAAAGCACAAAAGCCAGAACAACCTTAGAAAAAGGTGCTCCTCAAGGGGCCTATGCAGCCTTTACAGTGCATTTCATCTGTGAGCTATGGAAATAAAAGTGCTGTAGTGAAAAATATTCATGGCAAAGATCTCCTATCCTGGAATACAGACAGTCAATTCTTTTGCTCTAAGACTTGGGTACCTTAAGTCTCTATACAGTTGCCATTACCATAACAGCCAAATGTCTCACTATTGTTGATTTTATTGATCCTCAGAGCAGCTCCATGAGGGTGGAGAAGCAGAGGGTGAGAGAAATCTGTTACTTATTCAAGGTCCCCCAGGAAGCAGATATTAGATCCTGGTCTTCTGGTCAGTATCCCCTCAGATGTTCACTCTCCCAGCTTTTCTTGCTTGGCAATGCCCTCATGTTAAATGATTCAAGCAATGGGATTTCCAGTATTCTCTCTTGGGATCATTACAGATTCATACAGGCTTTCTGTGCTATAAAGCACTGAGCTCGTCAGCACAAATTTCCCTTTGCTCACTCTAACCCTTTCCTCTCCTTCCCTACATCCCTCACCCAGCAGATAATTCTTGATGGCCATCCTGTCTGCAGTCTGCTCTGTGCATCCTGAGATTTAACTCTCCTGGCACCCAGCCCTGCAGGTCCCTTCTGCCTGGACAGGAGCTGGCTTCATGCTTTGGGCTTCCTCAGGCAAGCAGCCAAGCCTCAACACTCAACCCCTCTCCCCGTGATAAGCAGTGTTTGAAAGTCTGAGTGTGGCTGAAAATGCAGCCAAAGCCAGAAGATGAAATGTGCCTTTATTTGGGTTTCACAGCTGTGCAGTGACCCTGTGCTGCCTCTCACTCAAAATTATGATTTGCCTACTTCCCTGCTCCCTGCTTCAGTGCACCTGCACTCAGTTCAGCTGCTGTTTCTGCAGAGGTTTTAGGATGCACACTGCAGCCTGCCCTCCTTTCTGTTAATGTCAGACCCCAGAACCCCAGCTCTGCATCTTTGCTGGAGCGTCTCTGTTACTCTCCAGGTATCTCCAGCACTCTCCATTAATAACTTTGAATTTGTAGCTTCTGTGGCCCAGCTGGGAAGCTTCAGAGGGGGTTAGGTGAAAATATCTATGGGTGTGATACCAAACCAGGGAATTACATGTTCCCAGACTTAAAAATTATGGAGTGGAACTTAAAGGAAGCCAAAACCATACAAAACTCTTGAGAGTGCTTATTTATGAAAGCAGTAAAGAAGAGTCCTTGCCTCACCTCATGCCCCTCTCTGGGCTACTCCCTTCACTGCCACCAGATGTTTGTGGCTGCCCACATCCTGCTCTGGAGCAGGATGAGTTCCAGCCGCCTTGTCCACCACCCTGGCTCTAATGAATTGCCAGCCAGTGTGAATGTAGCTGGCAGGCCTTGGAGGCTTTCCATCACAGGACAGCTTGGCAGGGACAGGGGAGGACAGCAGGAGATGATGAGCCCTCTGGCAGCTCTCTGATGACCACTGGGAGATATCTACAAAAAAGCCAAAACCCAGCAGTAGGCAGGCAGCCAGGGCTCCTTCTGGCTGCTGTTGATTACTGATCCTTTCACCTTGGTCGCATCCATTTAATATTTCAGGGCTGTATTTGTTCCTTCATTACACAGAGATACCCTGTCTCATAGTGGGGAGGTCTGGCTAAACACCTATCCTATGCATTAGGTATTGAAACTGATTGCAAAATGTATCTAAAACTGTTCCTAGTGTGTTAAAAGGTGAAGGATTAAAGGGAAAATTGTCCTAGATGAAATTAAACTGCTTTCAGAAGCCCCCCAAACTCACTTCCACTCTGCTGAATAAGAGCACAAAAAGAAAACCCTGCCCTTTAAGCCCCTATCAAATGAACTGTCCTCATTGAGTTGCATGTAGGAAATGTGGGATGAATTTGAGCTCTGTCACTTTTTTTCTGGAAGAAGACCCTTTTAAAGTTATGGTTTATTCTCTGGAAAGTGCAATGTCTACAGGAAAAGGGGCTTTGGGGAAATTGGGAAAGATCTGCAGGCCTGGTTTTGCACCTGATTTTGGCTCAGGTTTTGTCCACAGACAGTTTTATGCTTCACTTTCTGTATATCTAAGGGGACCTGTGGAGTCCAGATGGGAGCCCAGAGAGCTCATAGCCCCAGGGGCAGCTACTCGTCCCCACATCTCTTCTAAGCAATGTTTGCCAGCTGCCTCCTTCAGAGCTGACTGCTTTTTTCCTTTTATTGCCATAGTTACCACGGGAACTATGCTTGGCATCAATGGAGCCATGGAGCTGCTTTTCAAAGTCATCACTCCCTACAGCAAGAGACACGTCAGGACGGTCAGGTAGGCAGTAGCCCCAAGGGAGCTCATCTTTCCAGGACAGCAAGAAATAAAATTCTGGTTCCACTTGAAGAGGCAAAGAAATCAGAAATGTATGCAGTTTCCACTCACTTTAAATCTGCAGGGTTTTTTAAGAGGCAGAAATAGTTCCCTGAAGGACACGTTAATGCTGTGATTCATCATATGATTCATGCTGGTGGCCCTTTATTTGTAGTGTGCCCTAGACAGTGATGGCAGTTTGATTGCAAGGTACCCTCCTTCATTTCCCAGACACAACTGGGTTTGGAGAAGCATGTGCTGGCAGCAGACAAGCCACTCCTGCCTCCCACTCAGCCAGAACTGCCTGCCACCATCAGCCTGGGGGTAGATGGAGTGGAATCAAGGCAGTGCTGCCTCATCCTCCATTTGCAGAGGGCCATGACCTGGTCATCATGATATTTTTGAAGTATGACAGTTCATACTAGTATTAATTTGTATCTGCTTTTAAGCCCATCCCACATATTTCAAATAGTTCTTTTCTGAAGACATCAAGTCCATTTTATATCTTCATCTCAATGCTGAATGTTAGTCCCCAAGCTGTCTGCTCTGACCACTTCCTCAGATGCCTTTCAAGGCAAACTTTATGAGAGCAAAACACATATCTCTGGCTTGCTCTTTAAAAGCAGGAGGAAGAATTTGCTGCTGTGAGCTGTGCCCACACAATCCCGTTTGCTTAAGCCACACAGAACCTGCCAGTTCTCCTGCTGGGATATGCAATGGCTTGTGGGGCACAGTCCTTACTTGCTCAGGCATGTGCCAGCAAGGACAAGGCAGCATTCAGCCAGTTCTGGCTTCTGCATGGACCTGACATGGGTGATGTCCATAGCTGGTGATTACTGAGGAAGCAGCTTCAGGTAGAGCACGAGGTGAGAAGGATGGACAGACACAGAACAGTTTGGCCACAGTTTGCTTAGCCGTGGTTGAAATGGGGGCCAGTCACCCTGGTTGTGTTAAATAATGTCCATCCTGCTGTTACCATCAAAGACTGATATCAGTTCTCTCAATATCATGACTTACACAATAGCTGGGAAGGAATTTGAATGCATTTCCACCAGCCACCAGTGCTGAAGCTCCTCATCAACACACAGCACTGTTGTTTGCTAAGTGCAGCTTTCTTCTTATTCCTCTGCCTACATGTCTGAAGAGACACAGTTTTTTGGACTGTTTGCTTTTCTAAATCAGACACTGAGGGGACCCAGCAGATGCAAAACTTCCTGCAGCTGCCTTGTTGATGGAAGCCAACTCACTTTTGCCTGTGTTTTTGGCTTTCTTGCACAGTGCCAAGTACCTGGAATTGCTTCACAGCTTCAATTCTCTCTTAGACAAAGTAACTGAGATGCCTCTACATGGGGATACTGGATGTTTATTACACAGATGTTTGGATATCACCCAACTCAAAGAATATTACCACTAAGATATTATTCCTAGGATATCTGAGTATCCTTCAACATTCCCATCAGGCCTCATGTAATAACTTTAAGATTTAGGCAGCCTGGAGAACTGTTTTATGTAAGACAGGGGTGCCCAGGATGAGTTAGACCCAGAGCTGGGCTTGGCTTCTGACACAACCAAAAGTGATTGACGGGTCCAAGCCCCATGCTTAACTAAGCAAATTCCACTCAGTTCCTTGTTTTCCTTCCTGTGGAAGTGTTGGCTGTGATTAAACCAGCGCTAGTTCTGCTTCTGTGATAGGCCAGGATCTGTGTGTGATGGGACTTGGGCCTGTATCAGTTTTCTGTTAAGCAATGGGACTGGCTGCCTAAAGGCTTTTAAAATTAATTTTGTGCAGAACTGCTTTATTTTCCATTGACTGTTTACCATAGAGGAAGTGGAAACCTTGGTATCTGTCACACCTTTCTAGCCTGGCTTCTTGCTGAGATACATTTGGAGATGCAGGGAGTGTTGCTGAGGGTTGCTGTAAATGTAGTCTATAAATGCTCTAAAATACTCACTTCTAAGGGAAACAATCAGAGAAACATGCTGCTTTTGATTTCAATGATTCCACATTGTCAATATGCAATATTTAGCTTTTACTTCCTTTTATCTGGTGCACAAGGATTGTTTTGAATTCTTCTGTGGATGTTTTTTTCCATTTGGAACACAGACACAAACATCAGAAAATCAAACTCAAAATTGCCCTCAGTAAATCCCATTTTTCAGATAATAAGCCTTTTTATTTATTACTGAAAAGCTTCAATTTATTTTTCATTGGAAAAAGGTGTCTTGTGCATTAATTTTTGTCTACCTGAGCTTTCTCACTGCTAGTTCAGTTTCCTAATTTTCTTTTTATTTCCTAAAAATATCTGTGCTCTTCTTAAAACATGTTTTTCATGAGTGTGCAAACAGTGCATACAATCTTTACACAATCTTTTCAACTCCCACCTACTCTTGGTCTAAGGAACAAGAACCATAAATCAGCTGAAGCCTGGTGGCCACCCATCTGGCCTGCCCAGGGCTCAGAGCTGTGCCTTTTGTTTCATAACTAGGGGCAGCTGAGAAGCTCAGTGGCACAGTGGAACAGCCTGTTTTACATTAGAAGAACCACACAAGCCTGTTTTGTTTCAAAACACAATTGCAACCCATTAAAAGGCACTAGTTTTTCCTTAGTCAGTTGAGGCTCTGTTTGTTTGCAGTTCACTTGGAAGTGCTGCTTTCATTGTGGAAAGTGGCTGTAGGAGATATTGTTGGCAAGAATTTAGGCCTTGAGACCAGAAGAACAGACTGTAGAGTGGGTTACAGATCTTCTCTCCCAGCATTAGCAAATGCCTGGAATAGCTGCAGTCTGAAAGCCCTAAGCATCTTTGCAGCTCATCAGAAAATGGAGGTAGGTATGTGTGGAAAAAATGTCCTTTCATGATTTAACTTGCTCTAGCTAAAGCTTTATGAGGTGACTGGGATGGGGAACTTATGGATGGGTTTTCTGAGCTGGGGAGAAAGGATGAAAAGGGGTCATGTTCTTTGTCTAGCTCAGCATGTGCTTCCCAGCTATCTGACACTGGTGCAGCTCTTCCCAAAGTGGCTGTGACTATGCTGAAATTGGGAGTGTATTATTTTGGTGTAGTTCTTGGTCACAAAAACATTGGATTCTTTTTGCCTGTAAGCTGTAGAGAGCACTAGCCTCTAACCTGCTGGCAGAGGAAAACTCCAATATTGTCCCAGAAATCCTTTGACCCTCACTTTTTACTTGCTCTTGGTACCTTCTCTCCACCTCATAACTATGTGCCATCGTGGTTTGCCTTTTTGCTGTGAGGGAACAGCCGGCAACTGTGGGAGCTGAGATTACCCTGGCTCTCTGATCAGCTGCCAGGAATGCAGCATTGAAAATGCACCACTGCTCTGGTGGGTCCACCCGCGTTCCCCTGCCCTGGGCAGCAGGAGGGCCAAGGTCACTTTAAGAATCTGCCCTGGAGAGTGCCCTGTGAGAGCTTTTTTTTAGCCCGCTAAGATGTGGAAACAAGATACATAGTTCTATTTATTTTTCCCAGTGGCAAAGCTCTGGGGTATTTAGAAATAGTCTCCCCATGCTCCAATTGACCTTTTCTGGGTATGTGCCAAGTAGCTCTGATTCCCCTGAGACTGTGACTCATGGGCTTTATTGGCTTTAGTTAGGCATTTGAGGTCTTCAGCTTGCTGGTGCCATGACTGTGGATCTCTCCAGAACTATCCATATCTGAGGTAAAAGCTACATGGAGAAAACATGGAACTCTCTGTGGTGTTGAGATCTCTTGAGTGAACCACTGTGAAATCCAATACTTTAGGCTGTCTTGTCCATCTCTCATGATGCTGTGCTGCAGAGAAGTTTTCCTGATACCTTTTACAGGGACAGTTTAAAATAAAGCCAGAGGATGTTCTGCTTTTCTCAGCTCTGTTTGTGTCAGTAGCTGGGATATCTGATAGGAGTGTGTGTGGGATGCTCAAATCTTCGCTCCATCAACACCTTCTCTAATGTAGCATCTCTGATGCCTCACACAGTGCAGTGATCACTGCTCTTTTCACCTTTCATCCTTATTATTCCCTGTATGTTCCACAGCTTCCACCTCTCTCCTACTTTCCAGTGTCCCTTTTAACACTGTCGCTTGTTTTCCCCTCTTCCTTGTTCTGAGATGTGTTTGGATGGGTTGTGGAATGTGACAGTGGGAGATGTTTGCTCTCTGGTCAGCCAGGAGCTGGTCTCTTCTGCATGACTCTGTCCAGGTTGTCAGGTTTCCTCACCAGTGGCTTTGGAGGCCATGAGTTGTCTGAGGGTTCATGTTGTGCACGCTCTTCTAGGACTCCTCATGTTGAAAATGGAGTATCAAAGAGGCTGAAAACAAAACCCTCAGAGTTTATTCTCCTTTCATAAGAGGAAGACCTGTGCCATTTAGAAGACAGCAAATGGTGGGATGACTGTTGCATTGGTCGTTCCCTCCATTATGTTTTCCTTTTCTGCTGTTAAAAGGCTGGTGCACAGTTTTATTGAAGCAATTTGGATAGTCTGTTAAAATGTCTTTGTTTTTCAAACCTCTATGAGTACATCTATTTATCATACTGAGCAGAGCTGGCTCATGGTAAGTGTTCGCATAAACCTTGTATGAAAGATTACAACAAGAGTGAGTATTCATCAGAAATAAAAACTCTTTCTGTGGGTATTCAGAATACTTGGCTTTCTACATTGGGCTATTCCAGTAAAGTTTGACTACTTAATTAAAAGTGGAAAGTGAATAAAAAGGGTCTGGGAATGGTGCCAAATTAATTCACTAGAAAATGTGATATGCAGAAATTATCTGCCTTTGCTCATGTCCAGCATTACCCACTTCTGACATTTGATCACAATTCTTCTCATGTTTGGTGCTTATTGGTAGTTCCAGAGCCTCAAATGCTTGCTGATAATCTCCCTTTTCATTAAAGGGAGGAAATCCTCCCATGTAACTCTATTTCACCTGAGGTGGATGTCTGAATTCCTTACATACTGAAGGGAAAAAGAA